TGAGGAGGCATCTTGCAAAGGATCTGACTCAGTTAGCGCGATACAGAGAACGCATGAATGATAACATCATTAAGGGCTACCTCGAACCTTAACACACACATCAATCTAAGTCAGGGAACGGAAGGAAGTGGTATATGCCTCATCACCTTGTTTTAAACCCGAAGAAACCAGAAAAGCTGCGCGTCGTCTTAGATTGCGTGGCCAAGTTTGAGGGTATGTTCCTGATCGACAGATTGTATCAAGGTCCCGGCACTACTGCGAATGTTTGGGAGCTCTTTTGCGCTTCCGGAGTGATTATGTAGCTGTGACTGCTGACATTTCCGAAAAGTTCGTGCAAGTAAAAGTTCCCGAAGATGACAGGGGTGTATTACGTGTGTTATGGGGGGACTCAGAAGACTTGATCGGTGAGCCCAAGGAATTCCAAATGACATCTCATCCATCTGGCACCAGATCCTCACCATTTTGTGCCAATTTCAATGGCCAAAGATTATCTCTTACAATCACAATCGTACGTGTCGTTGCTTGCTTCGGTTAATTATAGTGACTGCTGGACACTCAACTGTGTTCTCGGCTAGAAATAGAGCATCAGCTTAGCATGACAGTGGCCAGGCTCATGCCCAAAAATACATACCACCCTCGGCGAAGTATGTTATTGCCTAATGGTTCCGACGGTGGAAACGTAGCGTAGACAATCCATTTCGCGTTTCCAGGAAGCCGGTTTCACTCGACAGGGTTGCTGAAAGGGAAAATGAATGATTAATCAAAATACGTGTGCATTTTAGGCAAACGACTAAGCAAACTTATGAAGGTTACCATCCTAGCACTTTACTAATCCCATTATCCACAATGCCCAATCAGTTTCCACGCTGAAGCAAGACCCCGAGTGTTGTAATAATAAAAATAATAATATAAAATGAAATTTACCACTTTTTACCCCATCGACGATAACGAAAGGTTTTAATGTACAGTGGTGATTTAAGAACGATATTCAGTGAACGCAGCGAAGTTAAAGTTGAAGTTGTATATGCAAATCGGTCGTTAGGTCAGCTGACAGCAGTGACTCAGTTACTGTCAAACCAGAGCCTTACATTTCTGTTTAGTTCATGCAGTAGCTTCACATTGCTGTACAGTTCTTATCTATCATTTTGGGGGCTCTCGCTCAACCAGCCGTCGTCTGTCCGCTTACCTTATCCAGATTGAATCCGGCACACTTCACAAGGGAGACCAACTGCCTGGATTATTTAGCTAAGCTAAATCTACTTCAGCTCCCTGTCAAACTGTCATCACAGGTAACAACTTGTCCAACGGCTAGCCTTCTTACTCACTATTTCGGCGGATGGGCCACACCTTTTTAAGATTAGGCAACTACCCTCGCCCAGGCCCTGCGCCTTCCGATTGAATGACGCACAGTGCAAGCACAAAATACAACATTTACCACCGATTATACTCTCCCACATCGGGACCTGAGGGTGCTGCATACCGGTCAATTAGAAACCCGCTAATAGTTATTTGTTTTGAGGTTAGAAACCCGCTAATAGTTATTTGTTTTGTCCCCGTCCTACATCAGTAACTTTATCTGGCCTTCAGCTGCTAGGTTGGCCAACAAGAATCCACCCTTTTACAGAACCATTTTACCTGTTATCATCCATTTTGGATCATTTTTCTATGGGCACAGTTTTATGTGATGTCATCCGGAACTAACCAAACGCTGCTGCTCTCATCCTATCTTCTTATCGTTCCTCCCTCTCCCCAAGCTTCTAACGTCGGACGTAGCCACTGCAAACGCCCCGAATGTCCATCATTCATTCAATCTGGCTGGTCTTCGGTTCACACATACACGATCCTCCAACTTAATCAAAATTACCCATGATCGTGAATCAAACTGGCTCTACCTGTCAGTCCCCTCGTCCAACACAAATCCAGCCGCACAGCCCTGTCCGATTGCCGCAAAATTTAACGTGCGCTACAGGGCTTCCCAGAAACCGAAGTTTGTCAATGTGATGATGGCACCGCAGTTATACCCAGTCTGATGGCACTCCCACAAGTATCTTCTTATTCCATCGACCTTCACTTCTCGCCAACTTGGGCCTGTAAGTGCACTTACGAAAATGTTTTTACCCAGCTCCAATCACCTCTGAGATGAGTTTGTTGTGACCCGTTGAGCTCAAACTGAAAATCATTCTAACATACCGTCATTTTTGCAATTTGTTTCAACTGATCCCCTGTCCTTATTTCTGGCACGCATTCCCCTTTGGACTTCCTGTCATATGGCTTCAGCGACGAACCTTGGATGCACACCCGAAATTCCTCCGAAACCACAGTTCGGAGGATTGAAACTTTGGCAACTTTTCAGCATTTGATGTTATTTATTCAGTCTTCTAAGATCTCCCCATGCGACCTCAGTTTTTTGGAAGTTGTTTGAACGTACTCGAGGTGAGTTCGAGGTGCATATTTTAATGGTTACCGGTGGCTCCGCGCGATGTCTCCGTGTTAACGCTTGGAACTTTGCGAGACAGCCGGTTTCTTTGCGTTTTTATTTTGTATCGCACATAGAGATGCCATAACGACGCGGGCCCAAAACTGGGCAGACTTTCAAGACCCGTGTATGAAGAAGACTTCCATCGTTGTGGCAGGCGTACTGTTAAGCGAAGCCTAAAAAATTCGTCACAGTTAATAAGTTTTTGTTTTTTATGATCATCAGTACAAGCTATATCTGGCGCATGGTTATACTGAAACATCGATGGTGACGTTGGGAAGATTAGTGTGTTTATAAGCAGAACAAACAAACCGCGAAAAAGGGTGGCCCGTCCTTTCAAGTCCTGGCAAAAATTAAATGAATTGAGGCGGCCATCTGGGTGCACGTAACAGGCTCATCCAGGAAATTTTAGGGATACGGTGAACTACGGGCGAGCCATCAGACTAGGTATGGTGGTCCCAGTACCGTCATTGCGACGCCTCACTTGGGTCCGTGGGCAGTCCCGTACAAGACCTTTTTGGGTGAGCCGTGTAGGGTCGACATTGTAATTAAGATTTGGTGAGGAGTCTTACAAACTAAGACCAATATGGATTAAGGACATTCTTGGTCCATCAAGGGCGCACAGTGGTTCATTGCTGTTTTTCAGACGAGGCAACAAGGCAGCCGTGTCTACATTGGGGACTCAAAATAGGATAAGTCTCAGAAAGTCTGCTAGGAAGGCACTATGATGTATGTTAGACTGTGGCCTAAATTGGTCGCAATTCCTAACTAACTTATGTCTTTCGGACCCCGGTATTCAAATATCCGACGAAAATCTTGTCGATATGGAGTATACAGACGTTGCTCTCATCTTTGAAGCGCAGTCAAATGAGCAGGTGTTTTTGGATTGACTGCACTCTGCACCCACAAAGTTTAGGTTAACAATGAGTATTATTCTCAACTGTGGGTGGCATACCTTCAGACATGATCATAAGGTTGCATTCAGAATTAAGCATGAGTTTGTTTGTAGCTGCAGGTAATGACCGAGTGGGTGAGAATGTACAGTCAAGAGCAGGAAGGTATTAGTTGCGGGTGTGCCTTCAAACTGATTGCGGTGCCGTACCATTAGTGAACTGATATATCCCAGTTTCCGTGCAGCCCTAAAGCAGACTACAATGAATGTGCTGGAATGTGCAATTATGTGAGCGGCGGGTTTTTGAGTTAACTAAGGGGTTTGTGGAGGTAGGACGAAGCAAATGTAAGATCGTAGATATTTTTCTGGTTTGGTTGGGTATCCCCGGGGATGTGAATCCTTAGACAAAAAGAGCAGATGACAACAAACGGCGTCCAAACCAGGTATTGCTGAAGTTCGTAGGACGTTCGAGTGCGTATGCAGTACTTGTTACTTAGAGCTCAAGTCTATAACACAGGGCCATACGGCCAAAAAATATGTACACTGCTTTAGGTTTAACTTCGCTGCACCCAATGAGGCGTATGGTAGACGAATCGCGCTATTGAATCATCGGCTCCCTCATTATCGCCAATGGAACTAAATGAGCAAGTAGTGAGTTTAACTTTATAACAGTAAGACCCCAGCTTCAGCTTGGAAGTCGATCTGGAATTGTGGGCAAAGTTATTTATTAAGCATTTGGTGAGTTAGACACGCGAACTTTGTTTTGAATGATATCGTGGAAGATGTATGCGAGTCGCAATTGCTTATTCATTTTTCCTCTCAGAAGCCCTGTTGAGTAAAAGTTTCGCGCCGAAACTGAGAACTGGATTAACCACACATTACGTTTGTACTGATTTAAACAATAAAAAGAAACATGATTTTTTTATGATGGTTGTTTAACTTCTAGGTATGCGGTTGGCAGATGGGTGATATGTATGGATATGAAGGACCGCTGTTGTTGCTGGATTGGTCTAGTGTGTATAGTTGGGGCATTAATCAGTTACGAGCACGTGTGCGGACCCGGCAGTTATTATAAGTAGCCACGGTAGGCAACTCCGAGTACGAATACGAGTGTGACAGCCAGTCGCCGACCACTGGGTTAGGCTACTGGGCATAGTTGATGCCTAATATTTAGTGTTGCACATAGACACAAACCCAGAAATTACGATAAGTAGCCAAGGCGGGTGATATCGACTACAATAATGGGTATGACGGACCTACGTCGGCTGGTGGATTAGAAGATCGCGCATGATGAGGCCTTTGTTTTGTCGGCCCGCCTGGATACCGACCTGGTGTTTGATATAGGTTGCAAAGTTAAGCGGCATCGTGCACAGTCATGAGTATGAAAGAGTCGTTGGACGTTGGATTAGGTTACTGTGACCCATAAGCAGTGTCACAAATAGGCGTGAGCCTAGCCGTTACAATAAGCATTCGACCTAATTGACAACGCGTAGGGTTATGAGTATGATTGGTCGTCGTTAGCCGCAGGCTTGGGTGTCGCACATTGACACGGGTCTAGCAGCTACGCTAAATGGTCGAGGTGAGTGACAACGGCTACAGTCATCATGTTGATCGTCTCATGACGTATATTGCCTATTGTGAGTCATATTCCTGATAAAAATTATACCACTGTGCTGATAATTTACCAACAATGGCCTCCTGGTGCTGTATTGTCCACAGGCTAGTCCTGGGTATTCTGTAGATATTATTCTCATTCTTGAAGAACGCCAAAATATGGTAGCGTGCAAGTTCTTCTTTTACCCTTCGTAAACCTTCGTGATCCTGGAGTTCCAATGCCAGCGCCCTCCAAATGGATGTAGACGCTGCCAAGCAGTGGTCGTTGGACTGGCAACTGGAGGTGCAAATGGGTTGGGATAACTCTCTGTATGAGTTACACCTCCAAAAACCCTATAGTTTTGGCAAAAATAATATGGGTTTGCTCCTAGTGAGCGGCTGGCATCCGAAGTTGCTTAAAATACGTTCGCTGAGGAAATATGGGATGTATCCCATTCATCATTTATGGCATTCGAAAAGGCGTTAAATTAATGCACAAAAAATCACTGGCTGGTATTTGCGCGTTCGTCCAGTTATCAAAGCATCAACGCTTTTTGCGTTACAAATAGATATGCGAAAGGCAGCCTGCAAGACAAACGGAAAGTTGAACAATACGAAGATGCCAGTATTCTAAGCGTTTTTCTGATGAACAACAGTACGCGAATCACCGGCTGCCCAATGTGTTTTTGTCCACAAAAGCAGGGGACCCATAATGGAGTCACCTCTTATTACCTTGAACACAAACATAAGGTCCCTAAGGTTTTGTGCGATCGGCTTCCGAAAAACCTCTGGCACCCTTTTTGTCAGCCGGCACTCATAGTGGCACTTCAGTATCTTAATTTGTATCTTCCCCTCATTTCGGGACGTCAACAGCTCAATGGACGCTCCAAGCGAAGAAGGCAATGCACTTCCGACAGGAATTATGTGATAATTAAAACGACTAGGGCAGTTCAACTTTTCATGCCATCTAATTTGGACCTTTTCCTGGGTAGAAATGGATGGACGCACTCCGATCAGCTTATTCAGCATTGTGGACCCCTAGTCGCATCGTAGTCCTGTGAGTCAGCTAGGTTCGTTCAGCTATTTTCTATAATCGACTACAAGGCCCCCTTGGCATATTTTGCAAGTTGTAACAGAGCGCTCTAGTGTTTAACATCAAACATTTGCAATATCTATAAGCCTGACGTACTTCCAATCTTGCGCGGTTTATCTGGAAATAGCAAATGTGGCCCCCGCGATGCTTACTCGCAGTAGGATTTATCGAGGTCCCTGAAGACATACTTTGTTGTTAGACTAGTCAACCAGATTTAAATGGCGAAAAGTATTTACAGGAATGGCATCTCCACATATTATGAGTCCATGAGGGCCATGTAGTTTCCAGAAAGCTCAGTGAATTATTTCAGCCACAGAAACATCATCTACTTCCGTCGATTGTAAGCGGCTCACCTTTTACTGCAATTCGTGATATCTTATTACATTAGGCAACGTATTCACAGCCGGTGGCAACCGACGAACTTGAAGATTCGCTCGCTTTAACAAATCGCCCGTGTGCATGATTTGCAGGGTGATTCACTGTATATAAACATTCTTTATTGCGAAGTCTGACCTCTAACCATGTCGTAGCATTCGGAAAATAATTTCCATTGTGCGGATACTGAGAGGCTTCGCTGACGCGACTGATCAAACGGAGAACGTAATCTGGTTTCGTTAAACTGGATGAATATAATACATAACAGCTGGCTTCACCCCTCGTATTGTTGCAGTTGACTTGCTGTGTTCGCTTCAGAATCCACACTGTCCCTCCAAAATTAAGCTTACATTTGGTGGTGGGGTAGTCTGTGTACAATACTTTTTCTTGCATTCCACAGAAGACTAGTCGACGTTGGTCCGATTGTAGCTGGTTTGATTTTTGTAGGAAATTTCAAGCGTCGCATTATAGGAATCAAGTGAAAATCTTGTCTCTTAATCTCAGCCAGCTCAAGTTGAGTATATCGGTGGTCTGCCTTTTTTGGGATCTCTTCTTTCTTGCAGTTCGTTCATCAAACTTCGAAGTTCAGCCTTCATTGGCCGTCTTCATAAGAGCTTAATGTGTCTGAAAGTTCTTCTACGTTAGTGACTGTCCCTTCCAAGTAGCCAATATGTCTTTGGGTTTAAAAAGAGTTTGGTCCGCCAGAATGTCCTGGTTATATTGTTCCACAGATTTTCGGTGCCTCGAGAAATTTCGTGCGATCTCGTCAATTTGCATCCAGTAGGATCTATTGGCCCTCAACCCGCCATTTTTTCCCCAGTGTGAGTGAACACACGTCAAGTGTTCGTATTGCAAAGTCCATTTCGTACTGGTGGACTTAGCGGCTACCAGAAGGTCTTGCCAAAGGCCGTGTCACCTCATGGACCAGGAGAGCACAGGTGCATTATCCAAAGTCTTGGGGCCCTCCATTTTCAATCCGATAGTTCCAGTTGCAGCCTTGTAAGTTACCTGATCCTGGTTTGTTGTTTTTCTGGTGTATGTGGTGCTGTGGAATTATACAAACTGCGAATGACCGTTCGTTAGACCTCTGGAGATTCTGAATGATCCAACGAGTTCGGTTGACAACTTGACTAAGGAAAAAGTGGCACCTCCGGGACCATCTGTATTTAAATCGCATCGATGCATGTTCCGTGTTACAGTCAGCAGTGCGCTCACTACTGTTGCGAGTACTTCTTTCAGATCTTTTCATCGGACAATGAAAAGCCAGAAGATAACCATGTCCGCATCATACATGCCCGCGTCAGCGTGGGCTAACTCCCATCACTGAGACATCTGTCGGTGCCGGTAAGTTCTATAATCGCAGATTTCGTTAATAGTTACCGGCCAGTTAAGTGCGAGTTTTAATTCGAACGGTTGGATTACTCTTTGCCTTGTTTGTCTGTCATGGCCGATTCGGGTCTGTCAACAGTCACCATCATCGTCGTCAACAACACCATCAAGAAGAGATTGGAACTTACCGCGGTGTGAGGGTGTGCGAATCTCGCTAACCCAATGCGCTATACGAAGGAGTGTGTTTGTGTCCCTCAAAGATCTTCCCATACCAGATTGGTCTGTGGATAGAAGTCTAACAAACACAGTTTCGTGTCTCCTGAATGGCCGTTCAACTCTGTCGGTCCTTGGTCTCCTGCTTGTTCAACTATGGTGTATCAAAAGGCACGGTTGCCTCAGACAGCCCTTTATGGAGACCAAGGAAGATTATTACAGTTGTAATAATAGAGTACTCACAATATATCACACAAAGTCGTGCTAGAATTTCCAATTCGGGTTAAAGGTGCTGAATACAGATTGGCTGGCATTCTGACCAATCAGGGCATGCCTCGGTCTGTCCGTAGACCGCACCTGACACGCCCGTTCAATTGGTGTGATGTTCGGTTGTTGGGGCCGAATGGTCTCTGGACACAGTCTCCTGATCCTCCACGTTGGGAGCTGGGATATACGCGGCGAATTACTCCCTAAGAATGTAGGCCACTTTGACCAACAACCCTGGCTAACCACCGCTGATTTACGGTCAGGTTTTCGAGCCAAAGACCGCTTGAGGTCCCTAATCGTCCATCTGCCTAGGTATCCAGACTCGAGTCGATTCGATTTGTTAGCTATAAACCGTGACCATGGCACAGTGTTTCCAACTTCTGCAGTTTCGGTCGCCGGAAAACGTTAGTGTGGGGCAAACAGCCTAGCACTGGAGGTGAAGGCATGTCTAATTAGTCCGGAAATTAAGTAGCATTGAAGGTGAGAGCTTTGATGCACGAGCACCATTGACTGCGGGATCGGGCTATTTATGCCAGTGTCACTAGCCACTGGTGAGTTGAGTCCTGGGATCCCCATCCTGGGAGGTGGCAGTTGTCGACCCGACTTATTTTACTGCTTAGTGTTTTCGTAATTCGCTGACGGGTCATGCGCTTTCTACCTCTCGGTAGCTTCCACTTAGCGCAGGGACGAGTGGATAGAGTTCCGCGAGGCAGACGGTCTTCTGGCATGCGAAGTACCTGCAGATATTTGCGTGTCCTAGCTTGCGTAGTCTATGAAGCGCGAATAATTTTATCTAACGCGGGAGAGTTACTTCCATCTAGCGTACCTCAGCATTGCTAATCCGATGTCCCTACCACGCCTGTCCAATGCTCCGTAGACGTCGATGTTCAAACACTGATATCTTCCGTTTTTCCTCTGCGTGTAGGGGCCACGTTCCTGATTAATAAAGTAGTATGGATCGCTCTGCCCTTGACAGTCATGTTGGCGCCATAGGCGTCGGAAGATGGCACCTGCAGCAATTTACGCTTCAAGTGTGAAGTACATGCGGCAGAGTTGTTTAGGTTATTTAAAATTGTCTGCATTTCGGAAGGATTTGAACGAAGTAGAACAATATCGTCTACATACCCAATGTTCGTGGGGGAGCTTCCCGGGAGCATTTCGACTCCCAAGGTTTCAGAGGCAGGCAGAGAAGCTTCAAGCAGCATATCAATAACAAAGTTGAAGAGGAAAGGTGAAGGACAACAGCCTAGTCTTACACCACCAAACGTGATGAAGTCTGGCGAAAGTTTCCCGCACACTCGTGTACGCCCATAGGATTTGGCATACAGTGTCCTCATTAGGGAGAAATTTGGAAGAGATAGCTTTGATTGCCAGAGTGTCTCAAGTTTCTGACGATCGACAGAATCGAAAGCGGCTTTCATATCAAGAAAAATTACCAACGTAGGGCGTCTGAAGGAGTGGCACTGTTCAAGAACGTGTTTCAAGGTAAAGATATGGTCAATGCATCCTCGACCAGGGCGAAACCCAGTTCAATTCTCACGAATATGTCTCTCCTGATGATCGACAAATCTGCGCAAAATAATGCCCGAGAGCACCTTATATACGACGGATATCAGGCTGATACCACGATGGTTTTTGAGTGACATTCTTGTGCCCTTTTTGAAAACTGGGATGACGGTCGAGGAGCGCTATTTTGCTGGTATTCCTTTTTTCGTTCCAAATGTGCTGCAGTTTGGTCGTTAGACTGTCCACGATTCCGTCACCTTCTCTGAAGAGCGCGGGGTGTAGACCATCCGGGCCAGATGACTTGTTGCGCTTCAGGATTGAAGTCTCACACTGGATTTCGGTTGCCGACGCTGGGTTGGTTTCAATGTTCCATTCGGGCCCGTTTGGTTCTTCCAGCCATTGTAGGCACCCGGGATGATTGTAGTAAGCTAGCACTAAGCGCCTTCCCTTCCTACCCTCATTCTTTTCTTCAAAATAAGGCTTTCAAATAAATCGTGGTTGTGTGTCAGCGAAGCATAGTTGTTGAGCCCTGATATCATGTCGATGATGATGCTGTATTCACATACTTGTGGGCGTGAAATTGCATGATGAGCTCTCCAAAAGCTTCCCCACAAAAAGTGGTGTCCGACAAGTATGTGCGCTCTCTCCATTCTTGTTCATCTTCGTCGTTGATAAAATAATGAGGTGAACGCTGGAAGGTCCTTAAGATTTCCGTGTTCAAATTGTCCCCGGTGGGAATCTTGTCGGTCTGAAGCACGCAGACGAAATCGTTCTCATCCTTGAAGACTGAAGTGAAGCACAAGCCCTGTTGAATAGATTGACCACCGTCATATCATTTTTCGGCATTCGCCTAGCACCCTCAAAGTGCTAAGGCATGATTTAGAGCGTACGGTCTCTGAACATATTCCTTACAGTTCAAGGAGAATCACTGGAGGTTGTGAAGAATTCTACATACCTCAATAGTTGCATCAGCTCTAACGGGAGGGTTTCTGATAAATTCAGTGCAAGAATCTCAAATACTCGAATCGCGTCCGCTAGTTTGGCGTGAAAAAAGACATATCACTAGGTCTTGAAGTCGCGTGTAGTTATTACAGTAAGGACTGTGTTGTTGTATGGGTGCGAGACGTGGCCTGTGCGGACAGATGTGGAGCATCTTCATGTTTTCTACCACCCATGCCTCAGAAGCGTTGCTGATTTTGGATAGCATCAGCGGATTGGTAACGAGATGATTAGAAAACGGCTGCTCAGTTGTGTGGCTGGTACTTTAATCGCGGAAAACCCAGGCCATCCAATGCGGTTGTTTGGCCATGTGCTACGCGTGCCGAAACACCGTCTACCGAGACGATTGTTGTTCTTCGTGCCGGCTTCAGAATGGTGAAAATGGTGAGGTGGATAACCTATGACTTGGCAGAAGGACGTGAAAGAGATTACGAAGAGTTCAAGTTTTCTTGGTGTTGTACGCCTTTCAGGATGGGGTCACCTTGACCCAGCCTTTGCTTGGCTTGGTGCTTGGCTTTCGTGCTGTCAGATTGTTCTTTTCACTCTAGGACTTTAAATATTGTTAGACGAACTTTATGGTTGTACGACAGTGAAACATCAGTGTCAAAACTGATATTGCTGTCTCTGCTGCTGCTGATGATGATGATGACTGGTGGAACTCACTTTTATCTGTCTCAATCCTGCAGCTAATCATCCAGATATCGTTATGATATGTGGGGTTCTTTTCTTAACGTCTTCGAAATGCTTCATATGTCGTTCCATTGTACAGCACGTGTCTTGCTACAGTGGTTCTTACGTAAAGTGGCTCGCACGGGAGAAGGGTAGTTTGTCTCCTCCGATTGTGATCTTTTCTAGGACTTCACATAAGTTCCATCATCAGTGCACCGAAAGCTTGAGAGCTCCCGTTTTTTTCCACACACTGTAGTTTTCGACACATCTCCCACCATAAATTTAGTGGAATCCATACTAAATACAATTGTTCTTAACCTAAGTCCCTGTTACCGCCTCGAAGCGAAATAGAAGAGTTACTCGGTGTCCTGAGTAACGTGTGTTAAAGTCTTTTGCGTCGTTTGCCTCGTTTTTTTTACCAGAATTTCGATTCATCCAGCATGATTTCAAAAGCCACGTTGCTGTTATTTTGCAGCACATGTGTTAGTCCTCATTTCAGAAACTATCCTGAGTATAACCTGACTGCATTGTTTCAGATGCGTAATTTGAAGTCGACCTGAACTTAAAATATTACTTGTATTTCGCCTTCAAGTATTTGAGCATTATAGACTTCGCGGCATTTAGTTGACTGTGGCAGACACAATCAAATGGTGCGTAAGCGAATAGTTGGAGTCGGAATCGCCAGCGAAGCAATCAAGGCTTATCAGGCCACGGTGGTGGCCACATGAACTACGAAATGGGTTGTTATTCTCAGTGCTGTGTTGCAGTTAGACAACAGTATTTGTTTTTTTTTTGGGTGCAGATCCAATCTGTCTCAGGTGCTCGCATCGGCAGTGAGGAACTCAAGATAAATTTTGTGAAGACTAACTTATCGTTAATTTTGGCGTAAGATGGCTCAGTGGTTAGAACGCGAATTTACTGACCAGAAGGCCCGTGGTTCTAACACGACCTCTGCCTCTCGACTTCCCCCGTGTAGGCTTGGACAACCTGGCAGTAACACAGTCCTCGTGCTTCCTTCTGGTGGCATGGCAGTTATGCACCGAAAGGGTGCTGCAGCTGAACGAATTTTAAATGATTGTTAATTTGTTCAGCTAGTTCAGACAGGTTCTAGTAGCTTGTAAGTCTATCAGGACCTTGTCCTACGCCATCCAAAGCCGTCACCCAGCCCGTGTATTTTCTTATAGATGATGGGGTTCTTCGGAAGCGCAATCCTCGTTAAGAGGTTGAGATCGTGATGGGGTACTGTATCCCTATTGAAATCTGATGGAAAATGCTTCCTTTGGGCTTCCTCCGTAAAGAGGGAAAACCGTGATGGGGTACTGTATCCCTATTGAAACCTGATGGAACATGCTTCCTTTGGGCTCTCATTGGGAATGGCCTCCCGAGCGGAAACCAGTCAGGTGAACGGATCTGTTGTCTGTGTGCGCTTCCGGTCCTCTCTTGGCCTATTGCTGCAGCTCTTTGTTTTCTTGGCAGCATTTTATACGTTTTTAGCGTGCTATACTGGATTCTTGGAGACATGTGTCGGATGGACACCGAACGTCAATATTCAGGCAGTCGGGTCGAAGCGAGTTGCAACTTTCCACCTATTTCCATCAAAGTTCGTCCGTTGAAGACCACGAAGTTGGATTTGCTGCATGGATCCATTATATCACTTATATACCTCGTACAGTCCCACCCAGCTTCAATTCATAACGGCGCACTAGTGATGTCACGTCGACTGGTGATAAAACGTTTGCAACCTAATTGCTCAGCGAACAGCCGAACAGCCAGATATACAACCTGCTGCTAGTGTTCGTAATTCTTGTGAGTCGCTCTAACGCATGTCCCCTTAAAGAGATGTAAGCTTAATCCACTTCACACCGCACGCGAGCGCGACCGCCATGAGGGCAGTTTTGACAGGACTGACAGCTGTGTGAAACAATGAACAGCAAAATATCACCGCAACCCTGTTTTGTTGAGCAGCCTATAAATGTAATCAATGCACGGTCACAACCAATTCGGACCCTCTTTGTTTCAGACACATTACGCTGTTCTTACTTTGGATGCTTCGGATTTCTTGTTCTGTATCGTTTTCGTGGCCTTCATTAATGTGCTTGTGCAGAAGTTGATCAGACTAACCACACGCCATCTCTCGTTCCGAAAAATTAAGGACACAGGTGAAGGGCCCGTTGCTGATACGATCAATTCTGCTGGGCAACCGGATGCTAGTTCATTTGAACACAAAGGTGAGGATCTTTCTGGAATATCTTACAAGCTCTAATTCGTATAAGATGAGAGCTAGTCCTGAGGTAGTCCTAGAGTAGTACGGGGCTACGCAGAGTTACACAAGACAGAAGATGTGGAAGCCCGGGCTACGCAGTCGAGTTACACAAGACAGAAGATGTGGAAGCCAGAACGGGAAATAGGGCCAATTTATCACGCACATGTGCATTCATTAGGCACCCTTTCGGTGCCTAACTGCCATTCCACCCGAAGGAAGCACGAGGCCTGGAATACTGCCAGGTTGCCCAAGCCAAGATGCCTGTCGGTGGGTCAATCAAATATGGTAACGGAAATCTAATGTATAGTAGAATCCCGCGTTTATATTGCTGGGAAGAATAATTCAAACAATAGTTTATTTGGCCTGCTGCTCCTATACCGATGTCTTCCGTGGGATTCGTTTAAATTGGTGGGTTTTTCTGTTTAGATCCCCTCAGTTGATGAAGTTTTTATATACCTTTCTGTCTCGAAATGCTTGCCGCTGGGCCAGATTAGCTTCCACCAGCATTACTGAAAGGTGGCGTTTATGTGCTCAAATTGTTTAGAACTGCGTCTAATACGTCCTTATTCAAAAAGGTGCTCAAAGCGACGGTTCCAGTCCTAGATGTATAATCCTGGCACCTGTCGTAGCACGGTCACTAGTCCCCTAATACTGCCTGGCCTTGACGCATGAGACGTAAATTCGGGAACACCAATAAGGATCTTGATGAGGTGTGGGCTGTATCGATTGCATCCCTACATTGTGCGCCAAGTATACCGGTAACCAGTAATCGTGGACTCTGTACATGGCTTAGCACTTTTATGTATACTCGGATAAAAGGGAATGCCGTTGAAGGCGGCCTGTGTACTTCGTCCCCTTTACTCATACACCGGTGGTCGTGTTAGGGTTTACAACGAACTGTCCAAGGTTTTTAGTCCCCTTCTACCCTTTTGAAACTTCAAGGTGAACTTGAGACTGTTGGTCGGTGTATATATCTTGGTAGCTGCGTAAGAATTTAGTGCGCGCATACTCTAAGAGCAAGCAAGTTAGCCAGCTTTGTCAGAAACAAATTTCACTGAAGCTGAAGTGCAAGAGAGATTTTCCTTTATGGTTGTGGAGTTTGAATCTTGAGTTCGCAATCTTTTGATCAGCAATGACTTTTGCAGTATGGTGAGATTCAACTGGCTGCAGAAAGCACGCTGCAAAGTGGTGTGTAAATGATTTCTTGGATAGTGAATAAAACATATCAGACTAAGTTGGTTGGGACATGCACTACTACGGTTTGACAAAGGAGTTGCTTTGTATTCCATGCCCATGGAAGCCGAGTACTATGGGATCTTCGCGCGTTCCTGGCCGAGGTTCGCGCGATTTTCCTTGGAAGTGGTCGGAAACCCCGCAGAAGATGGTCCCCAACCGCTCCCAATGGCGTTCATACTTTCGTTTTCTGGATGGGTGGGCTAGCTTAAGTCCGTCTGTTCTCATCGAAATACACTCATTTGCAAACAGATGTGGTTTTGCGGGAGAATCACTTGGAATCCAGCCGAATCTCTCGTTTATGATGTCTTCAAGCGACGAATGTACTGCACCAGGCCGCCTAAAGTTGCAGTTGGTACGATATTCACGATATCGTGATACTACACTACTCATAAGGTTGGTGAAGATCCTTCGATGATGATGGAGGTTGATGGAAACTCAAGGACTTCATCTATCTGATCATTCCCAAGACCGGGCGAAACCGGTCGTGGGCTGTCGAAGAATTTTCAGCAACCTTATGATTAGTGCATTAAGTTCTTCTGTGCGTGTTTGCTGGGCTCATTTCGGATGACGTCCTTAAAGAACATTAGGTCAATCCCACTGATGACATCGCTCTGTGATATGGTGTTCTGAAGTGTATTTACCTCGCTACGGTTTCCATGTGTACACACCTCGGTCTTGATCGCTTATTCTAAAGACATAGTACTTTTTCACTAAGTCTTCATCCTTTCCCTCTTGTTAGACTCTTGTGGTTTAATGAGAGTTGAGCACCAGTATTTAGCACCGGTATTGTGTTGTCGATGATGATGTGTCAAGATTTTGCTATGATTCGACTCCAGTGAGGCGTGTCTTAGCAAAACTCGACTACAGGTGTGTCAACCTTGGGAGAGGCTTCGTCCTGTTTCCTTTCCTTGTGACTTATTTGTCGTGTGTGGAGCCAATTCATCGGACCAGCTTCTCTCTCAAGTAACGCTCAAACACCCTCGTGAAAGGCTTCACTTTCCGGATATCTGCGCGTCTCAAATAGGTCGGTTAGGAGTGCAACGCATACTCTGGCCATTTACGGACAGCTTTTTTGTATCGAAATCACCCCCGATAGACGAATTCTATTCCTGTTCCACGTCGTTGTGAATCACTGACGACAAACTGGTTTGTAACTGGTTCTTATTCTACTTTTTCATGGTAAACCCTGGTGTTCAAATAACCTGTGAAGACGAATTCTAGTTCCACGTCGTTGTGAATCACTGACGACAAACTGGTTTGTAACTGGTTCTTATTATACTTTTCCATGATAAACCCTGGTCTGGTGATAACCTGTGAAGAAAACCTTGTCGATCTGGAATATGCAGACGACATCGTTCTCATGTTCGAAGAGGGGAAGAAGGCGCAAGTATTCTTGGATAAACTGACCAAACTCATCTCGTCCTTTGGTATGCACTTTGCACGTACAAAGTGTAAGGTCATGGTCGTGGACGTGCAGTCACTGAACACGCCACTTACAATCCAGGGAGAGGTACTGGAAGTTGTGGAGCGTTTTACGTATCTTGGAAGTTGTATTGGTTCTGAATGTAGCGTGACAGATGAGGTGAATGCACGAATCTGCAAGGCTCGGGCCGCGTTTGCTAACTTGAGACACCTATGGCGTCAGAATGGTTTATCCCTGAATCTGAAGGGACGTGTGTATCAAGCTACAGTACGGGCTGTTTTGTTGTATGGCTGTGAGACTTGGCCTATTCGAACAGCGGACCTGAGACGCCTTCAGGTGTTCGACAATCGTTGTCTCAGAACCATAACTCGTGTGCGTTGGTGTCGGCGAATCCGTAACGAGGCAGTTAGAAAGCGTGTTTTCGGTTATGTAACGGGTACTTCCATTGAAGAATGTGTCCAGCACCAGAAGCTGCGTTGGGTGGGACATGTGTTGCCGAAAAGAGTGCTGTTTTCCATGCCCAACTCAGAGTGACGTGAACAGAGGTGGCCAACCCTTGACTTGGCAGGGGAGTATGAAGGAGATCGGTGTTGCTCGGCTCCCAGGATGGGGACCGCGTGATCCTCACTGTGCCTGGTTGGAGACACTACAAGATATGGCTGCCAACCGATGTCAGTGGC